TCCCCTCCTGATTATCAGGAGAGGGCAGTAAAACCTCCTTTCCCCCCTCCTCCTTTCTCTCTCAGCTGACCCATGGAATTGTCTGCCATTTTGTGGGGGTGATGGTGGAGGAAGAGGAACAAAGGGATTGTGAGGAAAACTGCACCCCTTGCTCCCCATTCCAGCATTTTCCTTCAAATTCCCTCTAGTCCTATCTTGTCAGCAGATATTTGAGTCATTCCCTTATTCTTTCTTCACTGACCATCATCATTAAGAGACTTTAAATTTCAGCCTCATAGGAGCCAATAGACGCTTGCATACCAGACCTTGCCACCCACTGATTGAGAGCAGGGGTCAAAAAGGAAAAGTGTGGGGATATGTTCCTCCCATCTTCCCTCACACTATGCAACTTATGGGCTTTGGAAGTGTAATTGGAAGGCATGGTGCCATTGAAACAGTCACTACGTGCCAAATTTCAATTCCATTGAAGTTATAGGCCCCAGATTTTGGATGCATTCTGCAAGTTAGCCCATTTGAGGCATGTTGATTTAAAAAACTGTTGCTGTATGATGGGCCCTCAAGTTAGGTCACTAAACTGAACTAATAACTTAGTTCAATTTAGCAACCTTAGCTATTTCATTCCAAAAGCTCTTCAAGATGCCCCCTTTCCCTTGGGTTTAGATGCTAAACCAATTTGAATGAGGGACCACCAGAAATTTCCAGCTATATGCTGAGAGAAAAATCAAAACTATTCCAGAGTAAAGCAATAATAAAGTTGTTCTATACTGATACTAACAAAACATGGGAAATTCCCATTAAGTCGTTAGAATATCATTATATTATGGTGATGATGAGCCATAAAGTCATCAGAATATCACCATAATATGGACATCACCATATTATGGGCATCAAAACTTAGTGAATGGAAAGTTACCAATAAATAAAAGGAAATTTTACCAACAAATAAACTATTTAAAAAATCTTCCAAAAAACATGGAAATGCATGCTGATTCAGAATGAAAGCTTCTTTTTGCAATGTTCTGTTCCCATAGTAGGCAACCAAGAGCTTAAAGATTGTGAATGGAATGGCATGATGTTGGTCATGTTTCTCAGGAACTGGTATCCAAAGATATTTTGTCACTGAAGCAGCATTGGAAGCAACCACAGAAAGCAACTTTTCTGTGAATTAATATGTTTGTTTAACTTAGTTTGAAACCTGTTCACTTTGCTGTTAGCCCTTATTCCAAATCATAGAAACTGGAATGAAAGAAAGGGTGATAGTATGGCTCCAGAAACAATTTTTCTTCTGTCAAATGCGGACAGTTGAAACGCATGATGAAACATATGTGGAAATACAGTGGCAAAGATTGTTGAGAAATATCCATTCAGATATTATGGGAACCTTTATAAAAGGGCAAGCAATTACGCAAACGTATGAGCCATGAAGTTTGCTGAATGTCTTTTTTCATTCCATTGCTCCAAGTATATTCCACGTTTCCTTTGGGATACTAGAATAATACCTTTGACTCAAAGCAGTCTTATGAGAGAGCTTTGTTCAAATGAAATTGTCCACACTCCTTAGCTAGCATGCAATCATAGGATCAAAATCTTTTGTTTTATGTTGGAAAACTATGGAACAAACACAGGATGCAAAGCTACAGAAAACAAAAATCCACAAAGCCTAGATGGAATTGTTTTTGTTTCTTCTCTGCCTGTCTTATCACAAAATTTATGAATTTGGGAGTGTGGGGAGCAAAGGAGGAAGCAAGGAGTAGTTCCGGCAAATCTGTAGTCTCATGAATTTTACTAAAAAGTTCCCACTATAGCTAATTGTATTTGTTTTTGTTACAGCTGGATTGCTAGATTGGCTATTGTAGCAATCTCCTTACCACCCTGGAGAAAAGCTTCTGTGTTTATTTGTTTTTCCTTTGTTTATTCAAACGTAGGCAACATAGTTGGATGAATTTTGACTTTCCTTACTCCAATAGAGTTCTGTAAAGACAGAAAATGCACTGGGTTAAACAAAGCTTTAGTATTAATAGTTTATTAACTTCCTGCTCATCTTTTATGCAATGTGCTATAAGAATATGTATAAAAAGGAAATTATGATAAAAATTGTCAGAATTAACAACATCACTATAATGGTGGGATTATGTACAGTAAAAGTAAAGACAAATAAAACAATGTTGCATCAGATCTCAGGTTGTGAATACAATATCAACAATATCAATTTTTGAATTATTGTGCAGGAATGCATGATAGAGCAGTAGTCGCCAACTGATGGGCCATGGCCCACTGGTGGTCTGTGAGAAAATTTTGGTGGTCTGCAGAGAACTACCACCCCAAAGCACCCCCCCACAAGGCAATTAATCCAGGCTGCGGGGGAACACAAGGCTGTGCCACCCACATGGCCCGGGAACACAAGGCTTGTATCACTTGCATTAGAAACAACACGAGGTAGTGTGGGGAGGGGGGAAAGGGGGAGGGGGGAATTTGCCTGGCCACTGGGTTGCTTCTTTCTGCTTCTTTTATCTTCTGCTTTTGGCTGCATGCAAGGAAAGCAGCAAAAGTCTTTCTTTCTATCCCCCAAACTCTGCCAAAAATGAGCCTTTGGGACCCTGCAAGGCATCCTACTTCAAGGGGCTGAAAAGACTCATTTCAATTTTGGGGAGTGGTCCAGTTTGAGCTTCTTCGGCGACAGACCGAAATCTGCGATTGTGCGCAGTTTCAATCTGTGCTTGCCGCTGGAGCGCCCCGAGCTGGATCTAAAGGACTAAAATTAATCGGGTGGTTGTTTAAAAGTTTTTAAAATGGTATCACTCTTGGAAGAATTGAGAATAGAACTTAAAAAAATAGAAAGAAGATGCACAAGAAGGAAGAGGTTCTTTTGGCTTCGTATTTCAATTTTTAGAAATGGAGATCCTGAACTATGAAAAACAACAAGAAATGCCTGTAGAACAAGAAGGCGGGACAAAGAAGAAGCCATCTTGAATGACCAAGTGTTTCTATGTGGGGAAAAGAAAGGAAAGGGGGGGGAAAGAGAGTGAAAAATTTAAGATTTGAAAAAACAACCCCCAAAAAGAATAGTTTGAAAAGTAATTACAATATTAGGATGAAACAGAAGAGAGGATTACAGAAGAGAGAATCAGAATTAGAGAGAGAAGGGGTCAAAAAGGGAAGGGAGAAGAAGAGGGGGAAGAGGGAAAGGAAAAGAAATTATAAAGGACAGAAACAGGACATAGAGAAACAGGGAAAATGTACAAGGATTAAGGGTATAAGCCTGTTTAGAAGACACAGAGATAATAGGTGAAAACTTAATTGAAAGGGGGATTCTGCAAGCGTACATAAGATAGTATTGTTATATTAGAAATAGAAATGAACTTTGAAAATATGAAACAAGTGTGATTAAAATGATAGATAAAATACTCATTGTAATGTAATGTAATGTTTAATAAATAAATGAAATAAAGAGAATGAGAGAATGAAATTAGGAAAGGAGGGGAACATTTTAATTATTATAAATGTATTATAAAAATGTAAGTGAACAGGAATATGAAAGAAACATGAAAAAATTATGGAAATATTGTAAGTGTTCCTAGAAGTATGATACCCTATTGAAAAAAAATGTTAAAGATGTCAAAGATTATAACTGACATTAATGATAGAGCTGAATTGGAATAGAATAAGTATTTTATTTATTATTGTTCTATATATATTTTCTCTTTAAGAACTTAGTGTATATTTTAAGAATGTACCAAGCAGAATTCGACTGGAAGTTATGTATTATATTGAATGTTATAACTGTAAAGGCATAAATTGAAGTTTAAATAAGAGTTGAATGGATAAAAATTAAAAGATACAAAGGTGTCATACTCCAATTAGTAACTACAGGGAAAAATTTTGTTTAATGAGAAAAGAAAATATGAAATTGAAACAGGACAGACAAAAGTATAAATATAATGACTAGAAAGATATTGAAACTTAGAAAAAGATATATATAATGGAATTTAGAAAGGAATGAGATAATTAAAAGTAAGATTGAGAAAACTAAGGGAAGGGAAAAATTATTGAGAAAATGTTAAAATAGTAATAAGATATGGAATAGAACACAAAGATGAATATGAAATTGAATTTGTGTTTGTATGGAGAAGTGAAGATTTCTCAAAAAAAGAAATTTTATTTGTATTATGTTTTGTGAAAACCCAAATAAAATTTTTATTAAAAAACAAACCAATATCAATTTTTGAATTATTGTGCAGGAATGCATGATAGAGCAGTGGTCGCCAACTGATGGGCCATGGCCCACTGGTGGTCCGTGAGAAAATTTTGGTGGTTTGCAGAGAAATACTACCCCAAAGCATCCCCTAAGGCAATTAATCCAGGCTGAGGGAGAACAAAAGGCTGTGCCACCCACATGGCCCGGGAACACAAGGCTTGCATCGCTTGCATTAGGAACAACACGAGGTAGTGTGGGGAGGGGGGAAAGGAGGGGGGGAATTTGCCTGGCCACCGGGTTGCTTCTTTCCGCTTCTTTCATCTTCTGCTTTTGGCTGCATGCAAGGAAAGCAGCAAAAGTCTTTCTTTCTATTCCCCAAACTCTGTCAGAAATGAGTCTTTGGGACCCTGCAAGGCATCCTGCTCCAAGAGGCTGCAAAGACTCATTTCTGGTGGAGTTTGGAGGAGAGAAAGAAAGGCTTCTGCTGCTTTCCTTGCATGCAGCCTGAAAACTGCATCAAAGCTCAAAGCAGGCTAGGAAGAGGGCGGCGTGGGGGGGGGGGGGGGGGGGTGAGGGAGAGAGAGAAAGAAAATTAAATTCATGGGGTGGGGGGATTTACATGTCTCTGTGTCTTTTCTTTCCAGCCTCAAGGTGGGTAGGTGGGTGGGTGGTGGAAGGAAGTTCCATCACTGCTGGGGAATTAAATTCACGGGGGGGGGGGGGATTTGCATGGCTTGACTGCTACAGAGTGACCTATATCAGGAAAATATTTGATAGTACTGTGCATTCAAATGTTTGTCCTGTAATGACTGGAATGAAAATGGAGTGGAAATGGGTATTTCGTGCTTGCTGACAAACTTTCCTAAGTGTGAATGTATAGGGAAAAAATACTAGTTACACATTACTGTTAACAAAGACAAAACATCAGGACTTTGGATCCTCCCAAACCCAAAGGATGAGAAAAGCCCTTCCTTTCCCTTCGCTCTGCCCCACAGTTCCTGTTAAGCCTGGATTCCCCAACGGGTGTTAAGGAAAACAAACTAAACAGAACGTGCAGCGAAGTCAGATTGGAAGAAAGGTAAATGTGTGAGATAAGTTTTCTAGTTAACACGCAGTAAAAATACAGATACGCTTGTGCTATCAAAAATATAGTTTATTCCATTTAAGAATTATAGCATAGTCAAATATAACGGTCCATTAGTCATATATCAATTTCAGTCAAGTCTTGTCGGGGATACTCTATTTGCAAAGTCCGTGTTGAATAGCCAATGTCAGTTCACTTACAATAAATCAGTCCAATCTTTATCTTTTCTCCGTTGAGAAAATCAACACTCCTTTTTCTCTCCCCGTTTCAGCAAGAACGCAGTCATCAATCCATCCAGTAATTAGGGATCTTCAAGCCAGCGAGCTGCAATTGCCTTGCTTCTTATATAGTGCTTTTACAACCACACCCTTAATTACATTCTTGCAGTTAAAGTTACACACACTTTAACTAACAAACCATGATACCATATTTATTATTTTTACCCAAACCAGTTAGGGTAAACAATGTTATCCCTAACAGTTCCCATTTATGTTTATGTTTAATATAAAAAATAAATTTTTATATTAAATGTATTATCTTTTTTAAAAAAATCATATTAGTGGACCTCAGGGTTTAAAAGTATGAGTTTCATGGTCCCTGAGGTCCAAAAGGTTGGTGACCCTTGTGATAGAGAACTTTTAAAAAATCCCATTATTCAAGTGTATATCTATCATTAAAAAGAGAGACTGTGCAAAAGTTCTGAAAATATGTTTTTGCAAAAACACCATTGTTTAACATTTAAAGAACAGTCAAGAATTATTTAGATCTTATTCTAGGGGAATTATGATTCTATCATTGAGGAATCTTCATCTGGTAAGAATCTAAAAGGTTTTCTCATATACTTTTCTTAGAAAGTGATTTAGCCACTATATCATAAATCCAAAATATGGTTGATTCTCAACTATTTTCATAAATTGAATCTAGATTATTGCTCGTACTTTTGGGATAGTTTTTCTGATATGCAGTTTCAATCAATAGAAAACAGATAGGATTATGGCAAAGAGTGAATTCTTACATTTGCTGTATGAAAACACAGTGAACAAAAACAGCTGTCAAATTGCATCCAAATTTTATTAAATAGTGATAATTGCATCTCCAGCTAATTCATTCCTTTAAAGCAATTAACAGTACAAATAATGAAAACCATATAAAGCAAGCCAAGTGAAAAGAAAAGCAGAAAAGAATTTAACCCTTATCCAAATTCTTAAGCAAAAAAGAGAAGTTTTTATTTTCATCGAGATAATTTAGTCTGGACATGTCATCATTTGTATTTTAAAGTCCTAATACAGTGTCATTCTGTTTTTAAAACATTATTTGTGACAATTACAATAATACATACAAAAATGCAATTGCATAATTAGTCAAAAAATATTATGGAAGCTTTTCAGAACTTTTTTTCTCTTGTATTCAATCATATCCAATTCTTTGAAACTGGCTGCACAAGTCCCTGAAGTTTAAAGTCTAAAGAGAAAATGTCTTAAAATTACAGTAATATAATCTAATTTTCTTCTAAAGACAATTCATTTCTTAGTATTTCAGTCTTACTTTCCATTTCCTGTTTCTTTTCATGGAAACTACATTTCACAATAATTGTACAAGTATAGAGAATTGCTTATTCTCTAATAGGTATTAATTTTTTTTCTTCAAATATCATCATTTGCAGGAATTTGGGAGCTCCTTACTTTCCACTAGGATTATTGTACTCTAGGACACCAGAAGCCAGTGAAGTGTCCACAATTAGCTCAGTCAAGATGGAACACAGATGTCTCTATGCTCAGCAAAACTGGTGAGTGTTGTGAATCAATAAAAGTGAATAACCTAAATGCAAATTAGGGGTTGAAAACCTGCACACTTGATTGGTCCTTATACAACAACTTGGGATTGGGCCAGAACCAGTCCCTGATTGGTCACTTTTGGGACTGTCCTTATTGGTCAGTAGTTGGAACCTGTTGCACATTTTCATTGGTTAATAAGGCAGCAGCTAACCCTATAAAAGGGTTACTGCTGCCCCTAGTATTGCTCTGTTCCATTCTGATTCCTGTTATTATTAAAGAGTTGAAGTCACTGGTCAGATGTCTGGTCTCCTTATTCTCCAAACTTAACAGTGAGGACAAGTAATGATAGCAAGGAATCATAGCACCTTGACCTCTGTGAAGATTGGAAATCCTGGAAGCCAGGAAGAGATCAGAGATCCTACCAGTGGGAAATCACCTGTCCTTCAATTCCAGAAGTATTGCAAAACTATCTGTGCAATATTTCTTCTGAAATGCCTCAGTTTCCTGAGTTCACATGCATTGCCAGAACATAGAGCTATTGCAACTAAATTTAGATTAATCTAGTGCTTGCATGGGAAAGGATATTTGAGAGGTCTTGTATGTGATATCACTTTTTCTTGCTGATTAAATCTTTATTTATGATCTTCATTCTAATATTTATTTTTGACATTTAGACTATTTAACCAATTTTCCATGCCTAAAATTTCTAATCTCTTCTTCCTTCCTTCTTTTTGTAACATACAGTATGTTTAACTTATTCAAATCCTTGACTTAAGAAAGTCTTTTTCAATTGTACTAGTTTTTATTTGGTCTCCTCATTCTTTTGAAATGATTCATGATTTAGTTTCCTTTGGAGGCTTGTTTTTGGTATATTTTTGTTTAAAATGGGGCGTGTCTCTTTTTTTCTTACATTTTTATCCTACTAAGCAGTATTCTTCCCCCAATTCTTAAAAAATCACTGTTATTATATTATAGATAATTGAAGATAGTGCAGGATATTCTGAAGAGTGGGTTTTAATAATAAGTTTCTATAATCAGTATGTCATGGAAGTTGAAAAATTTGGTGAATTTTCATTTCCCCCTAAAGAGTGAACTTTTCTACAAATACTATTCTATAAGTAGAATAGGCCTTTTCAACTCTTGAGGGAGTTTTCTGCTTGCTCCATTGGCTTCCTTCCCAGATTATTTCAACTGCTTCATCAGTTCTTCTTCCTCCTCTTCCTTTTGAGGAAGAACAAAATGCTGCTTGCTGATCTTATTTGGACTTTTAAAAAATAGGGATGAATACAATGATTTATTTTAGAATACTCACATTTTAAAGTGGGCTTCCAACTAGTTGACAAATGTGTCCGTGTCACAAGTCTGCATGTTCAGTTCACATTCATTGGCAAACACGTTGAACAATCTACCAAACATCCTTACAGCTAATTGTGTTGTACAAATCCAGAAAGTGAGGTTAGTTTAGGATTCAGTGTGAGGGGTATATTCAGAAATTTGGATTAGTTGAATAAAACCTTATTTAAGTATTTAAGACACATAAGAGAGTATTGTAAATACGGCTATTGTGTGGTAATCGTCCCAGGGCAAGATAAATCAGATTACTGCCAAGAGCGGCAACCAAGAAGCTATAACCAAAAGTTTCATCACCCACATTGCCACAAGGGGTGAGGGTATGCCAGCTTTCAAATTTGTGCTTTCTTATATTCTACATTCTATCCAAATTGGATCCAAACATTTTACAGTTCGTATAAGCAATCTTCTGTCCAGGATTTTCTTTCCTATCTTATCCTTATCCTCCCTACCCATCCTCCTACTAGCCAAGAATTCAATTCTCAGTTATTTGGCAATACCAAATTCCATTTCATATTACTTTTCCTTTAGGGATATTATCTAAATTAGGCAACTATTTACCATCTGATTCAGATAGTAAATTGTGAAGTTAGGACTTTAAAAAATCAATGTTTTTTTTAAATAATGGGGACTTTATGATGAAAAACAACCCCCATACATATTTCAACAAAGATAAAAGGCATAGTGAATCATATATATTTATTAACAAACCAATAAGTAAGAGAAATAAGTTAAATTTTCAGTGCCCCAAGACTGTGAAATTTAATGCAAAGACTGTGAAATTTAATACTTTTTCACCACTTTTTAAAATCAGAAATTCCTGAATTTATCTGAATAATATAGTTTAATTGACATAGAAATACTTAAGCAATGCAATTGCTTTGGAATGTAGGATTGACAGAAAAAAAATCTTCTATTTAACAATTCATTTTGAGGTAGATGGTATTCCAGGATGATAAAATTTTGAACATGTGTTCCTGGTTGCTTTATTTAAAAACAAACAAAAAACCACCAAAGACTTGAGTTTTATATCCTTCTTGAGGATTGATATTGAAAGTATGAGTGGTTTGAAAACTATTATTTCCTCATTTAACTCCCACCATTTAATATTGTTGATGTGCCACATAGTTAGATAATCAACTGCTGAAGAATGTAGAATATGCTGTGATGCCAGGGTTGCATTTTGGAAGAATAGATTTTATACTTGTGTGGAATTTATATGGTTTGAACCACTGTATGAAGCTAATGTATATTATAGAATGCCATTCAGTAAGTAAGTAAATAATAAAATCTGTGCATACTTCTTAAAAGCTTTATTAATTTGGGGTATCAGCTGCACTTCTAATTACTGGCCTCAAGCTTAGAATTGTATTAAAGTAAAGTACTCAGAATCCTATTGAACTTAATAGTTATATTTATACATAAAAATTGTGGAGAGAGTTTTAGGAATAAACCAGCTTTGTGTACATCAAAAATAATAATCAGAAGTTAAAGTATTAATTAGGAACTTATGCTCTAATATTTTCTGTCTCTAAGCCAAAACGTGGCATTTTCCTCACTTTTCCTGAACAAGCTGGGTCTCTGCAACATTGCCTTGTCAGGGCTCCAGCTTTGCTTGGGAATGCAACGTCTGCTCTCTCTTAGGCAGGCTCTGGACTTTCCTTTCCTTATTTCCTGATAAGCCAGCTTCTCCAGGCAGAGGAGAAAGACTAAAATGTTGGCTCAGCTTGAATGTGTAAGAAAATGTAAAAACTATGTCTCATCAGTAGACTAAAACAGCTAGATAACAGCACTCCCTCTCTCCCTTCAAATATTTTTCATTTCAGAAACAAAATGGAATTGTGGGAAGTACACTTGAAAAATATCAGTTTTTGATTCATCTTTTGCAAATAACTCAGAAATTTACAGACTATGATCTATTTTCTGCTGACCACTGCTTCAAATGCTTGTGATATATTTTTTCTTTTTTAAACAGTTTATTAGTTTTTACAATTAAAAACAACCATCGATACATACACAAATAAACGAGAGAAAAAAAAGAAGGAAGAAAAGAAAGAAAAGAAAAGATTGAAAAGAAAGAAAAAAGAAAGAAAAAGAAGGAAGAAAAGTTAAAAGCATTCTTATTTTTACAGTTTGCAAGATCTTTTTTCATAGCCTTTGATTTATGTCATATACACACACCTATTCTATACATATATCGCTATCTCATTATTATAGGTTAATACTTTCCTCTTATGCCTTATGGTATATAATTTATCTTTGATCAATCCAATTATACCAACAATTCCAACTATCATAATATAGTGAAGTATCTTTGTTTTTTAGTGCCAAAGTCAGTTTGTCCATTTCTGCACATTTTGAAATTTTATCAATAATCACTTCATCTGGTGGAATTTGATGTTGTTTCCAATATTGAGCGAAGGCTAATCTGGCCGCGGTTAAGATGTGTATTGTTATGTATTTAGCTTTTTTGGAAATTTGTTTTTCAAAGATCCCTAGTAGGAAGGACTCTGGTTTATATTCGATCTGCTCTTTTGTAATTTCTTCCAACCAAGTTTTGATTTTCTTCCAGTAATTTTGGGTTCCTGTACATGTCCACCACATATGGAAAAAGGTTCCTTCTTTTTTCTTGCATTTCCAACAATACGGACTCATGTTGGGGTGCATCTTCGCTAGTCTCGAAGGAGGGAGATGCCGTCTATAAAACATTTTATAAAGATTTTCCTTGTATGCTACTGATTTTGTGATCTTATTATTCCTGCCCCAAACTTTTTCCCATTCCGCTAGTGTAATACTACGTCCTACGTTCCGACTCCACGCAATCATATTCCCTTTTACAATTTCTTCTTCTAATTCTGTTTCTAGTAAATAATTGTAAAATTTTGTTATGTTTTTTTTGTCCGGTCCTAATAAAATTTTATCTAATTGTTGGAAGTTTGTTGTTAATTCCAAATTCTTTCTTGTCTTGTTTGTACCTACTTTGAATCTGAAGGTAAACCCATTGATCAATTTTTTGTCCCTGGTCCTGAATTTCCTGCCTCGATTTCAAATTTCCTTGTGGGTCCAATAAGTCTTTATATTTAATCATTTTAGTAACTTCCAGATTGTTTGGGTGAATATCAGTTTTTGATTCATCTTTTGCAAATAACTCAGAAATTTACAGACTATGATCTATTTTCTGCTGACTACTGCTTCATATGCTTGTGATATAGTTTTTCAATACAAATGTGTGTTAGTTATTGAAAGCATCTGCTTATTATTTCATTCCCATGGCAACATCATTTGTATTTTGTGTAATAAAAGATGTTGATGGTTATTTTCATAAACACCTGAGGCAATTCCACTTTACAACCACAGTTGAGCGGAATGTAGTCTAAATTCTAAACCATTTTATGCTGTTTTATGATACCCATTCTAGCCACTTTATTATTAGACAAGCAAATCCCTTATAATCAAATGTTTTATGGTAGTATTGCAAATTGAAGCATCCTAACTTTAACTCTGCAAATCTCGGTGGGCCTTTTTGTCTGATCCAAGGGATGAATTAAATTTAAGATTTCATAGCTTTAATTTAAATGCAGTCAAACTTTTCTGTAAATTATAAAGGCCATTTGCAAGATTACTAGGAAGGAAGCAGTGCTTACACATCCCCATGAAAGGGGTTTTCTGCTGATGACAATCCACTGCTTTTGGCAGAACTTATCCCTGTGCATACAAAGAAATGTTTAGCTCAAGTCACATAATTCATCCATAAAGTGTCTGTGCTTGACCCAAGTTTTGTGTCCAAACTTTCTAGCACTGGCCTTTGTTTAGGAAAGAATGACTCAGCCATCCCACTGATCTTCATTTTACAGAGGTGTCAGGAATTTAACCAGTTAAAACTATGAGGCCATTTCAGTTTGTGGGCTGACTCTAGCATGAAACTATTATATACTTTGGGTCACATGGCATAACATTTCATCCAAGCACGTCTATTAATTCTGGCAGCAGCCAGAGAAAGTTTCAGAGCTTCTGGAATCCGGCAGATGTGCTGTTTCCTTAGGGCTTTGGGAAGCACAGCATTATTTGCAGGCTCACGTAAGTTGTTGAACTTTTTTATTATTATTATTATTATTCTAAGGCACTGAATATAAAAACACTTTTCCATTTTTCCAGAGTGGTAAGCTTTGCGAAGCTTCACTACAATAATTGGTTTGGTTGTAAACTAACTCTCTCCTTCTTGAATTTCAGAAGTGGTTTTTCAGTCATTCATTGCTATGAACTCTCTTTGTAAGGAACTCTGATGTAAGGAAATCTTTGGATATAACTAGAAATACTGTTTGAATGGAAATTTCAGTTTGCAAAATTCTGTAGTTTTGAATGAAATGGTCCAAAAATCATAATAATACCCATTAGCACTTAGGCTGTGTAAACCACATCATCAACTTGTCTTAATATATTTTGTGTGGAAGACTGAGTCGAATGGCAAGAAGAAAAAGAAGAGTCAGTGTAGTATAGTTAAAGTTTTGGATTTGGACTGAAGAGAACCAAATTCAAGCCTATTACCTGCTCATTCAGGGGGTAGTGAAATTATTGTTTTGGGAACAAAATTAAGCAACATTTTTCCGATCTACTAGTAGGTCTGTCAGCTGCTGCACTGTACATATTTTCATAAAACTGATTATTTGCTTTATAATAAGTTATAGTGGGGTTCATTATCCCTTAGATCTCATGTTTTACATGCAGATAGTCCTGGGTTCCATTTTTGCTCTCTTTAGTTTTAGAAGATCAGGCACCTGGTGGTAAAGACCTGAGATTGTCTTGTTCTTGAGATTAAGGTTAACATTAGGCTACATAAAGGAAGAGTAAGCTTCGATGATGTATGAGACAGTTTATTATGAAGCTAATTCCCACAAACTCTTATGAAATGTTCTTAGATGATCAAACTTTTCTGTCCTGACTAAAGCATTGGTCTATTTCAATAATCAACAAATAACTATAAGTTCACATATGCATTAGGATTAATTTCCTATCATCATTCCTTGATATTCATGCCTTAACCTCTTTCTTTCTCTAGGATCCAGCCTTTTTCCAAAAGCTTTGATGTTTGTCATGGATCATCCTAACACAACACAGTCCCTGCCGGCTGTTGAAAACTCTGGCTCTGTTGCTTCCCTGTCTGAGAAGAATGGAGGTAGTGGCAATGAATACTTTTATATCCTGATTGTCATGACCTTCTATGGAATATTTTTAATGGGAATCATGCTATGCTATATGAACTCCAAGAGGAAAGAAAAGAAATCTAACTTGCTGCTGCTTTATAAAGATGAGCAGAGGAAATGGGGACAAGCTGTAAAGCCTCTGCCAACAATCTCAGGACTGAGGTCTGTCCAGTTTCCCATGATGATCAGTATGCTGCAAGACAGCATGGTACCAGCTTTTTCCTGTGCCTTGTGTTCCATGGAGGGAAACAGTGAATCTTCCTTGCCAGATGTTCACCTCACTATTGAAGAAGAAATGCCTGTTGATGAATCAGGAGAATCGACTGAAACAGCCCTCCTCAAGGACAGTAGTGAAGGCTCTTCAGAAAGCATCCATCAACATTCCTAGCATTTCCAGTCTCTGAAGACTCAACATCTTCTGAAAAATTATAATCAGTTTTGCTTCTGGCATTGATCCATCCATCATTATGATGGGTCATTATATTGTTGGAAGATAGAAAGAAAAGTAATAAGCCCAAATATAATGTATAACAGAATCGTTTTGTTACTAAAGACAGAGAAGGAATTTTTTTTATCTCTGAAGGAAATATTCTGGCCTTCCTTCAGCTTATTTCTGAATGTACAAATGTGAAAGTAGTGGTGATATATGCAACTGTTTTATGAATAACCAGTGATTTGATAACTAATGTCAATGATACATTCCTAGTCTCAAAATGATTAAACAGCAATAATATAGCAAAAATCAATCTTTGCTCACTCAGTGACTAAGCAGCAGCCCACTTGAATGAATTCCTAACTTTCAGATATGTATAATAGTTTAGAAGAAGTAAGCATACAGATATCTGGGCAGCAACTGGGAAGGGGGCATGATAATGAAATGGCATGAAACAGCAGCAGTTGTGACTTCTGAGTATATAACAGCAAACAACAATCGTCTCTATTTTAAAATTTTTGTTACTTGTTTATCCCAAATAGAATGGCTGTGGAAGTAACTCCTACATTAATGTAAATTTTTAGATCAGTAAGCATTGCACAAAACTGATAGTTTAGTTCTGTTAATCAGCTCAACATCCTGTTCATTCTGAATGAGTCATTAACCACAAAAAGACCAGGAGTTATAATGCCCAATTAAGATATAACTGCACCAAAAGCAGGCCTGGTGTGGCCACTTGGATGTTCTTGGTCTGTAGCTGTCATAATTGCAGCTCTTCATTAATCCATAATAAGTATAAAATATTGATCACAAACATGGTGAGTTTCTGGTTCTGGAATAATATATTCATTTTAGAAAGTATTCAAACCATAGCTCAGGAATTTTTTATGATCATTTGTTACAGTACTTTACAAACACATTAGTTAAAACATTACATGGGTTTTAAAAAGTTATACATGTAACAGTGACCCCAAAATTTATTACTTCCATCATGCATTGCATTGAACATCAACATTGGGCTTATAAGTATGAGAACAGAAACACTGCCAAAACTCTGAGTTTTCCAAGTTAAATAATGCAGAAAGATATGTATTGCCATGGGATACATGGCAATACAGTCTGTGAAAACAGAAAGAGAATAGGCACAAATGATGTAAAAGTCCTACTTTTCACTTCTACTTTAAGGCATTAGTTCTAATTCTAATTTCAATTTCAACAGAGCAAAACAATTTCATTGATCAAGATCATTATGTTATAGAAACCTTGTTTGTTTGTTCATTGATGAGTGGCTACATATCTCATTAAATGCAATAGATGTATTGCTATTATCTTTGCTGATCATCTTATGAGAACTATCTAAGGGTTTCTATATTACAAGAAGGACTGTTTTCAATATTCTTAGATGCCAAACTATTTTTGGCATTTTGCCTGGAATCACTTGAATTCTGAAATTGTACAATTCAAAATAATAAATGAGTTGATATATTTTTCCATTGCTTTTTCTTCATTTATTATGAAACAAATGTATTGATGACTCTCTAGTCTTTTCAGCTTGACTCAAAAGTCAATTGTGTATATACTTCGATACCACATTGTATATATTTGAACTGTATTTAAATATTTTTTTCATTAACCCTCATTTTATTTAAATAAAAATAGAATGATAACATTTTGTGATTTTTATGGAATGATTATTCAATGACTAAGGTTTTTTTGTACCAAAACTACTACTTTCTTCTTCTTTTACCTTCAGCAAATCATTTCCTGGTAGTTTCCCATACTCCTCATTGGAGTTATAGGATCAGGTTCATTTTAAGTGGCAATATCAGCTGTGACTCTTTTAATAAAGGTCATTCATCCAGGAATATTTCAGACAACTTTGTTCTTTAAGTCTATGACAAGCACGCTGTTCAAAACAGAGTTTGTGTGTTTAAACCATTTGTTGTTTACTTGTTTGCTTTGGCTGTTGTGATCAACCTACCATATTAGGTTGCAAAAAGCCAAATAAACACTAAGTGACAACAGAGAATACATATGACTTTAATTCTTTGCTGCCATCTTAAGGTCATTTAGATTTTTGCAGTCCTAATATGCTATAAATGTGAATGGTTCAATGTATTTTGTTAGTTTTCATGAGCATTGCCATAATTCCCAATGGCCTTTTCTGCAATTCTCTAACACAATAGATCTGGATTGTTTTAAATTAAGAATCAGTTCTATGGGGATAACCATATCTCCTAATAATCTGAATCTAAACTGCAATTGCCTTTCCCTGCTATTTCTTGCAATATAATAGGATGATTTTGGGCCTTGTGATCAACTGGTAAATCCTTAAAATAAACAAGGATTACTGCATATGAAGGAGGAGAAACAAGTGGTTATTCTTCTCAACTCGGAGTGGGCATGATACAGTATGTAAATCAGATTTCCCTACCTGGAGCTCTCTATATGTTTTGGATTATAACTCTGTGTTTAAATCTATGTAGGATGGATGCAGTGCAACACATCTGAAGGGCTAAACTGGGATAAGATGCTTTATGCAGAAAAGAAAAACTTAAATAGACTTTACCAAATAGACCTTGGTAAAGACAGAGTCGGTGCACTTGCTAAAATACCTTTGATTCAGTTTTTGACCGTGGCAAAGATTTGACAAGAAAGCCTGCAGTTAGAAGCAATAGTGCAATTTGGATAGAAAGTTATCCCATGCCTCTACCTAGAGGGCAGGACCTTCCACGGACTTCCACGGAAAAATTCTACCAGTTTGAAAGCAGCTTTGAACGTCTGTGATCCCTTAGAGCCAGCAGCATTCAAAAGCCAAGCCAGCTGGCAGCCATACATTTGAAACTGCACTAAAGTCCTCTCTCTGTCTCTGAAATACTGTCTCTGGGGAAATCATGGGGAATGTGTCTCTCACTTGCAACCCTCCCTCCCTCCCTCTTCTGGTTTTCAGGCCTCTCGGGGGGGGGGGGGAGAGTTAGTTTGACCCGTTTGCAGTTTGCTCTCATAGAAATCCCTGGGATGTTTTCCCGCAAATGGCCAGACCATGCACATTGTATGAAGTAAGTAAATGAATGTGGGTAAGACAAAAGGCATTTACTTCAGCCACTTTTTTTATAGGGAGAGGTCAGTGAGAAGATTACTGTCTTGCAGCCAGTTAAGGTCTTGACAGTGATTTTTGCTCTTTGTTCTCAGTGCTGTGAGACTAGCAGAAGAGAAAAGGCTCAGGAAAAACTGCTTTCAAGGCCTGGATGCAATAATGGTGGGGAAGATCTCTTACTTTTGAAATGGAGGAAGAATGGCTCAGATAACTTTGGAAGGCCAAGCTGATGTGAGACTGCAGCCTGACAAGGCCAGCTCTTTCTTAAAGCAAACTATAACAGCCAGTGAGTCTGGTGTGCTTATTAAATGTATTTTGCTCTAAGATGAAAAGCAGGCAGCCAGCAGCCAGGCATCTGCAGAGTTTCAGGATGAGAGAGAAGACATGACTAGTTAACTCCCAATTTGGAAATCTTCCAGCAGTGGGGGGAAAGTGGTTATGATGCTGACACTGAAAACCTGGACAAGGGAGAGGTAGAAAGTGGGATGAGGGAAATCAGCGGGAAAAATGTAACTGCACAAGGTTGCCGAAAGAGCAGTGATTTCTGACAGTTTCTGTCCTTCATAAATAGGAATGGACAGTCCATAGAATGAATAATTTTAACGTAATTAAGGAATAGAAAAATAGTTATGAGACTTCAGCATTCTTGCACTCATGTTAGGTTCTTAGGATAATTGAATTTAATACAAAGCACACATTGCTATATCCAATTATGAGTAGCTCATGAAGAAAAATATGATTATTCCAACAAAGATCCTTATTAGGCTCCTCTGATTACCCCAGTGTTTGGTCACTTGCTTGCTACATTTTAAATTTTTGTTTGCTAATAAACTTATAATTTAGATGAAATGATAATCTGAAATATTTTATTTTTTAATTGTAGGTATATTTTATGTATACAAAATCACACAGAGAATATGTGAACATAAAAACTAATGGGGAAAACATCTATTACAAAAGAATCATAATAAGATGAGCCACCACTGTAGGTTAAAACCCACTGTTTGGTAGCAAGAGATGGCTAAAACCGTCCTTCGTTCCTTTTCCCAAGAAGCCAATTTGCATATTTAACTTTGTTTTAAATAATGCTCCATGGTTGCTATAGGAAACGTAGGCAGCAGTGTTCATGGTCTCAGACCTCTTTTCCTGCAAGACACGTCAACAGCATTTTTCAAACTATTAATGAATGCCTGTTGTTGCAGATGCACTAGAAATAAATAAAATGCCATAGGTGATACTTCAAGAGAAAGGGGAAGGAGAATAGTGTTAATTATGTAATAGTTTAATAGCAAGGTTTCAGAGTTCTCTGTCATGCTTCACTAATGGATAAATGACAGAACAGAAAACAATGCAAAAGACTCCAATTTTACATAAACTAATATGAGTCAATGGTGTAAGGTTCACCTTACATTTATTCAAAATTATATGAAAATTCTGCTTTTGCTCTTTAGATAGGTATGAAAAAATGCAATGTGCTATGGGGCTGATAATTGCTTAAATTACCCTAGAAGAAGCCCCCAATGCAAGAAAGTCTTATGCTGGTCACCTAGATGCTTCAACTGTGATATTTTAAAGTAAGAAGTAGCATTTTCTTTGAGTACAGAACCATCCTAAGGCTGAAATAGGCAACATATCACATGTGGGCTGCATATATCTCCAGGCTTGTCGCCAATATTCAACCACAAAATAAACAAATTTTATTGATAAAAGGTCAGCCTGTTTATGGTTTTTATGAGTGGAAAACAACATCTAGGGTATTTTCAGTTAGGGAATATCTTAATCTCTACCTTAAAACATACTAAAAATATACAAGCGTTCTTATTGTGATGCCACAAGACCTCAGCATAGCCTCCTGAGATCCTCCATAAATTCAAGAGGCTGACCTGTGGCTTTGCTCCTCATATATTGCCTGCTTCCTGCTCTAAAGCAAAAGTGGGCAACGCTTATTTGCATACAATTTGCTATTTCCATCACCAGCACAACTGTCTTTGTTCTAGTTTGCCAATATTCTTCTTATTCACATCAGAATTAATGTCTTTTCCCCACCTCTCAAAATCATTAGCCAGTGAAGTTCTGCTATCCACAGAACTTATGTAACTTTGGGATTATTTTCATAGAGCAGGGGTGTCAAACTTGATTTCATTTTGGGTCACATCAGGGTGGTGTTTGACCTTGGGGGAGGGGGCGTGACCAGGGTGGGTGTGGCCAGCATGATGTCACTCATGTCAGGGGCGCCTGTGATTTGAACCCTCTGCCAGAAAAAAAATGGAGTTTGTGGTGTGTGTACAGCCCTCCCAAGCTCCATTTTTGGTGGGATGGCCTCCTGCAGCCCTCTGCCAGAGAAAATGGAGCCCTGCCAAGCTCTGTTTTCACTGGCAAAGGCACTGTGGGCTGAACTTTCGCTGTTTCCAGGGTGGCCCAACAGGCCAGATCTAAGCACCCCACAGGCCAGATTCGGCCCCTGGGCTTTGAGTTTGACACCCCTGTCACAGAGAGTCAAACATGAAGGTTTAGCTATTTGTAGCAACTTGCCTTTCACTTTCACCTGCTATATCTCCAATCCTGAGGGAGAAAGTAGTGATAGTGGGATAGTGGATTATTTAATTAATCTCCTCACTAGATTACTGATCCATTGCCTGGTCCAAAGCCCCAAATCAGCCCAAACAGTTGACAGATATTATATAAACCATTTCTCTCTCTTTTTCTTTCCCCATCTCATGTCAGTGTTCATTATGCTTTAGTGCTCCTATTATGCCTATCTACTGTTGTTGGATTGTTAAATTACACAGATGTAATGTTATTCATGAAGCCTACTAAACTTGTGTATTTGAAATAAACAGACTATCCTTAAAATAAAATAAAAAGCCCAGGAGAGAAGGATATGCTCACTCAAAGCTACAGTACCTCATTTTTACCCAAAAGCAACATGAAAAAATGACATTAAAATATATTGGAATGCAGACCTAGTAAAACTGAATGCTTAAGGGGGACTATAGCACTATAACACCCAGAATAGCTAAATATATCCTTAAGCTGTCTCAAGTATTCTGGAGAGAAAGAAGTTCCCTGAGGATGGACTCCAGCATGAGTCCAAA